TCCGAGCCAAAGCCAAGTCGCGTTCGTCGCGGGCCGGGCTGCAGTTTCCTGTCGGTCGTGTTCACCGGTTGCTCCGGAAAGGTAACTACGCGGAGCGGGTGGGGGCTGGAGCTCCTGTCTACATGGCGGCCGTGCTGGAGTACCTGACGGCCGAGATCCTGGAGCTGGCGGGCAACGCGGCCCGCGACAACAAGAAGACGCGCATCATCCCCCGCCACCTGCAGCTCGCCATCCGCAACGACGAGGAGCTCAACAAGCTGCTGGGCAAGGTGACGATCGCGCAGGGTGGCGTGCTGCCCAACATCCAGGCCGTGCTGCTGCCTAAGAAGACTGAGAGCCATAAAGCTAAAAGCAAATAAGTTCGGCGAGCAAAGCTATTAAGGCGTAGCACATTTTAAACCAAAGGCTCTTTTCAGAGCCACCCACAGAATCAGAAAAGAGTTGTGTTGCTTTCTTTACAACAGTTTCTCAAGCAGTTTAAATGCAACTTCGTTTCCTAAAAAAAATTTCTTGATGCAGTAATTTAAACCTTTGTTCCTACCGAAGAGAGGTCATACATTTGCTAGTTCTCCCTTTGAAGTCATTTTTTGGTTTTTTTCCTTGTAACAGTAAAGCACTTATGTCTTAAATTGATTCTGCTCAACTATCATGGATTTCTTATGCTACTTAGGTTTCAGAAATATTGGAGGGTGGTCAACAAAGGGGAGGGTGTGAAAAAAACTTTGCAGCATGAAAACAGATACAAGACCATCCCAAACTCATATTACTAAGAATGAAATTATTTTATTTCCTTTATGGGCCTCTGTTTTTCAAAAGACATAAAGCTTCCTTATGATTTAACTTAAATTTAAACTTTCTACCCTTAAAATTCCCCCACTGTGCCTTGCTATTCCTCTTGTTACATCAGTTTGCAGTGGCAATATTGCTTTTAAATTTTCTGTGTTGCTGGCACAAGTATCACCCAAAAGCACCACCTTAAATCTCTTTATAGTCACTGTCATAAATCATGAGAAAGACATCTAGCTGATGCCTCTTGTTAGAATATTCCTAGATGCTGCATTTGATGGTGTGTACTACACTACTGAGGCCATAGGTCCCCCCTGTGCAGCACCTCTGCTCTCCATCCCCTGGGGAGGAGGAATGCTCTGGGCTTGAAGGACGGCAACACTCTCACTCTGCCTCTCCTTGCCACCCCCAAGCTGTAGCAGACAGGCTTGTTAGGCAGGATTGTGCCATGGCTAAAGCGAGACACCACGGATAATTTGTGGAGAAAAACAGAGCTGCTGGAGCACCGGCCTAATCCGATATAGGGGTGGTATCTGTGCCTAAGGATCTTGTTTTTAAGTGGACACATTTAGGATTGTAATTATGTTAGTTTATTGGTCCTCATTTGCTGCACCTACATATGTCCTGGCCCTTACAATTCTCTTCAATAACTGTAGTGGTAATCAAAAACTATTCTAACATGCACAAATCTTCTATCTTTAGTTTCCAGAAAAGATTCCAAATGTATGTGTGTCAGAAGATTGCAGTAATAGAACGGTTTGGGTGGGAAGGGACCATTAAGGATTATCTAGTCCAATATCCCTGCTGTGGATAGGAACATCTTCCACTAGCCCAGGTTTCTCAAAGCCCCATCCAGCCTGACTTTGAACATCCTCTAGGAATGAGGCATCCTACATTTTCTCTGGACAATCCAGTCCATTGTCCCACAACCTTCGATGGAGAACAAATTCTTACTTACGTCCAATCCAAATGTACCCTCTTTTAATTTAAAGCCATTATCCTTTCTTCTGTCCCTACAGGCCTGAAAAAAAGTCTCTGTCTTTCTGTCTCTGTTACAAGGTCTCCCCAGAACCTGCTCTTCCCCCAGCTGAATAACCCCAACTCTCTCAGCCTTTCTTTATGAGAAAAGGCTTCCAGCCCTCTGCTTGGTTTTGTGACCCTTTTCTAGACTTGCTCGAATAGATTCACATCTTGCTTGTGCCAGAAGACCCCAAATCTGGATGCAGAACTCCAGACAGAGTCTCATGAGTGCAGAGTAGAAGGGGAGAATCACTTGTCAAGACCTGCTGGCCATGCTGCTTTTGATGCAGCTCAGATTATGACTGGCTTTCTGGGCCACAACCATGTACCTCTACATCAAAGAACTGGAATTCCAGAGAAAGGCCATGGCATGGGGGTATCTGTATGCAGGAGCTAGATTTCTCTGTGAACAAACTCCTTTATGTGGAAATCAGCTGGTGTCACAGGGGAGGGTCCTGTCCTCTGAGTGTGGATCTAAGTCCAGCACATCTCTCCAAATTCTTCATGTCATCTGACCAGAAATTCATTATTTGCCTCAGAATTTCATTCCAAGCACCTCTTAATTCACTCACTAGTCTGCTTACCCCAGTAATTGTAGTTTCATCCTCTGTGATACTTACATTCACACCTTAGCACTCCCTAATTTTGTTCTTAAGCACCAGTGGTTTCATCAGTTGTGGACCCTGTGCTGCCATCACACTGATGAGGCCTCAGAGTAAAAGTCCTGTAAGTCAGATGGATTACACAATAAGAGTTCTGGAAAATCTACTAGTATTAAAGACTCACAGCTTTCAAGCAAATTGCACTGGATGAAGGAACGCAGCAAAGGAAGTTTAAATAAATGAGTTTCTCTCATTTGCATATACAACAAACAGTAGGAAAGAGGAAATCCATATGATACAGTGGCTTAGCTGTGTCACTGGGTTATAATGCACCTTCACATTCTAAAGAACTTGTGATGAAAAAAAAAAAAAACCAAACAACTCCAACCAAGCTCCCTCAAATGTTATAGATCACAATTATGCTTAGGGATAACTCAGTAATATCAATCTTTATATCAAAAGACTGAGAACTGCATAGTTAAAAATATGAAGGGCTTTGCTACCCTTTTTCATGTGTATTGCTTATAATATTAGGAAAAATGTACTCTGTTGAAAAGATCTTACATCACTTTAGTTTGCATATTGTTATAATTATTATGACAAGGGTAGCAGATACAGACAGGAATTTTAATTGCTTCATAAGCTCTCAAGAAAATTACGAGCATCTTTGCAGTTGGTTATAACATACTGATGCGATGACATTTTTATTAATTCTGTACTCTCTTGTGCAGTCATGGTGAGATGTTGCTTTATTGCAATGAACAAATGCAATTTACTCATTACAATTTAATGAGGAACTAGGGCAACTGTCCTAATTAATGCACACTTGAAAAGCTACAGATTTTTATTTTATTTCTTTAATGGAGCTGAGTTTTGCAAAGGTTTCCATCCTCATTTAACCCCCAGTGCTGTTTGTGCAAACTAATGGGGAAAATGTAGTACCTACAATCCAAGGATTGGATGTTAAAATTTGATCCAAATAAAACTTATTGTCTCCTATCAACAGTAGTAACAACTTCATTAGGGATTATATTCAGCAGGAAAAGTTTCTTTCCACTTTAATTATTTTTGCCTAAGAAAATCCTCTGATCCACGAGAGAACTGACTAATGTCACTAACAGAAACACCTGGGAAACATCTGCATGCACTTGTACCAACCTACAGACAAGGCAGCCTTCTAGAAAGCGTGATGTTAAATTACATCTAATGTGCTCCAGACACGGAGGAAAGGGGGTTGCAACTATTTTAATTACTGTAAGCTACTAGTCTCAGCCTCTGCATCACCAATTTCTGCCAGAAATGGAAGACAATTTTCGAAGTCTTTTGGTTGTTTCACCGCTAGAAGGAAAAGTTATACTATGATCCTCACTCTGCATTTAGAAAGACTTATGAAGAAATTATTATTTGACATACTAAAAGATTCTGTGTAATTCCTTTGGGCTTTCTTTAGTATTCAGAATGTTGTTTATAACTGCCTCAGGAAACATAGCTAGACACAGATCTTCGAGTATAAAGAACAAAGCAGACTTTGAGGAACCGAATAGTAATGTTAGGCACCAGCCTAGCAGGTCCACCAGTGAGAAATCTTCCAATTCGTCTTTGTTCACTCTGTTCAGTTAGAAAACAAACCTAATCTAAATTAAAGCTATGTTTGCCTGCTCATAATGTATATATGAGTAGCAATTCTTTAAATTGTTTAAAATACCAATTTGAATGGAAAAGGAAT